TGTGTGTGTGTGTGGGGGGGGGGGGGGGGTCCACAAAAATAAACAATCAATGATGAACAAGTCTGCTTCTAGACCTGCAAAAAACGGACACACAACAATACAACAGGCGCAAGCTATCACTGCGTCAACTTGATGAAGATATATGAAATCAACATTGTTTTAGTGAACAATCACACGATAATAAATCATAGTGCATTTAGTGCCAACCACAGCCTTAAGACATGTGTTGAACGTGTCCATACTTATGAGAGCACCATGTGAGCACCTGTGTGTGTACACGCGCTTGTATATGTAAGGTCTTCTCCATACGAGCGTCCAATAGAGAGTGTGAGGGGCCACAGATCTGCCCCCCAAAGATGCGTAGGAGATGGAGGGAGCTCCAAGTCCCAGAGATCCAGGAGCTGCCCCAGAGCGCAGGGACCCCAAGGAGACCTCGACCAGAAAAGCCCCTGCCCCTTCGAGAGGCGCAGAGGATCGCCCCGGGGGGCCACAACCAGCAGCCGGCAGAGTCCCGGGAGATATCAGCGGCAAGCCCACAGGCCCGCTCGCAGCCTCCCACCACCCAGCCGGCCGAGCCCGGGACCCAGCAACGACCACCCCCGCTGGGGACCCAGCAGAGCCCAGGAACCCAGACCCCACCAGACAGCCACCGGGATCGACCAGGCAGATGCCAAAAATCTTAAACTGCTGGGGTGCTGATGAGCAGGCTCCCCCGCCGAACGCTGAGCAAAGCAACCCACCACCCCAGACCCCAACCAGATGGCCAGATCTCCCTCCTAGCCTCCAGCCCCAGGAAGCCAAGTGACAACAGGGGTCTTAGCTCATGAACGGTCATTCAATGAACGCGTTCGGGCACAACACTGGTCACAGTGCATAAAATATGGTTTAGCAGTTTCAAATGTTTGCTTTATTTATCTTAGCTGACCACTCTTGTGGGCCCATGCTGCTCTTTAAACATGTGGTATGCCAGCCTTACAACAAAGTGGTTCCAACAACAGCCCTCAGATCCAGGATAACCTGTTACACACTGGATATGAGGTGCAGGTGGCTGCAGTCAGCAGCAGCTGTCTGAAGGGTTGGTGCTCTGGACAGCACACACTATGATGCTGTCCATTGCTCCACTGCTGTCACACTGATATACCTGAACAATGGAGATAACATAAATTAGAATGTAAAGTTATGAAAAGCTAGATGATGATTACTGAGCATTAGCACATAGCTAAATATAGCTAATAGATACTAAAGCATATAGCTAAATAAAAACAACTACTTGGTTGTTGTTGTATGATCATTAAAATATTAAGCACTTCAGCTACTTAACTTAGTAAACTTCCCTGTCCCTATGCTTTATATAGCAGTGGAAGATGGCCTTTAAAGATAACATCAGAAGAGGCACAAATCTGACTGAAGACTTTGCAAACTTGGGTCAGACCCAAACGCGGAGGTCCTGATGCTGGGTGGTAAAGGTAACACCTGAATGCCCAAAGCGTATTCCAACAGAATTGGTGTTAAACTTGTGTTGAGGATACACCTGTAAATGGAAAAATGGTAAATGGCCTGTATTTGATATAGCGCCTTCTAGAGTCCTGGAACCCCCCAAGGCGCTTTACAATACAATCAGTCATTCACCCATTCACACACACATTCACACACTGGTGGGGATGAGCTACGATGTAGCCACAGCTGCCCTGGGGCGCACTGACAGAGGCGAGGCTGCCGAGCACTGGCGCCACCGGTCCCTCCGACCACCACCAGCAGGCAACGTGGGTTAAGTGTCTTGCCCAAGGACACAACGACAGCGACAGACTGAGCGGGGCTCGAACCTGCAACCTTACGATTACGGGGCGAGCACTTAACTCCTGTGCCACCGTCGCCCACAAAAATATGTATATTCAGTGGGGATTCAATTATTGAACAACATGTTCAGCAGGCCATTGAGCTTGCAAAAGCCTATTCATCACTATTCAAAGTGTTGGGGCAGGAAAACAACTAAAACATGCATGAGGATCTCAATGACCAGGGTTGGAGAACTCTGTGTTAAGGTTGGTTTATGCTTGACGCGTCTGCGAGGTCCGCACGGCTCCGCGCGGAAAAGTTGCGTTATTTTGCGTCATTTTAACAACCACGCCCCTCCGCCGCGCCTCCGCACGGCCCAGAATTTCCGCAACGCGCACCTCGGAAAATTTCTAACCACGCGGACGGACGGACGGACGCGGAAAAACATGGCGGACCGGCAAGAACTAGTACGGCAGAGGTTCGTAAATACCGACATTTGTATGATTCAGCTCTCAGAGATCACCGTGATCAACATGTTGTTAATAATTCTTGGAGAGAAATAGCTCGCACTGTCGGAAAAGACGAGGACGCTGTTAAAAATGCTGAAATGCCGTGTTGTAAACAGTAATTTCTACTTCTACTATGGTGTAGTGTTGGATGCATGCCGTAGAGCTCCATGCTGCCCTGTTCAGTTTGGGAGAATATTGGCTCACCGCAGAGACGAGCCGCACAAACCATAAACGCTGCGAGTTGTGAAGCGCGTTCCATCCGCGAGCCGCATCACCGCGCGGAAAGTGAATGCGTCAAGCATAAACTAAGCTTTAGACGGTGGTGGCTGTTGAAATTCTTCTGGGTGGGCCTCATTATCTAACCATGTATCACCACTAGGGGATCCCAAATTACCATTCTTATGTGTCACACAACTTGAACCTGATAGATCCGGTACATGCTCCGGGTCTATGATCACTTCCGGCAACAAAGCTGTTCCTAAAACATGCTTAATATTTACCAATATATGGTTGGCAAGGTGGAGAAACGAGGGCCCAGGCGGTATTCGATCACCAGACTCCCAGGTGAGAGTCACGCGCAATAACCAGTCAGCCAAAGGGACATCTCCATGGCCAAGTAGCCAGGGCGCATGATTGTGAATACAGCAAATTTTTTTATTTAGTGACGAATCACTGCAGAAACTAATGAGGGCTAAGGAGACATTTCAGCAGTCAGAGAGTTATGTGATGTCCAGAACACCGTTGAAAAATTAAAGTGACGGGGATAAATGGATCATGCTACCTCTGGCTGCGAGCAAATGCTCCCTCCTCCGAGTGCGTCCAATGCAGCAGCATTTCATTTCATTTTCTACTCAAACTCAAACAAGAAAAAAAATACTTTAACCATGTTTAATATGGGCCGTTTCTACGTCACTCTAATGAATAAGAAAATTAAACAAAGAAAAATCTAAATTTCTTTTCCAGGAAACATGCACTGTGCTTCCATGAAAAAAATGTGTTTGGACTTCTGTGTTCACTAATCAGTTTGTGTGTCATTATGTTGCTCAATGAGTCACATGTACGAATATTTGGCCCATCGTCATTTATTGGACTCACTATTGGCGGCTGGGAAAATGATACAAATCACCCAACCCTAGAGCTCAATCATATCGGCATTCCTAAGGCAGGCTGTGGCGTGTGGCGCAGAGTGGAGTGGAACCAATGTGGTATTGGAGTAAACTTTCCCAGGGAGGCTGAGGAAGTGTGATCCCCCATATAGTTAGGAACACACCTTCTGGTCCCCCATCTTGAAAATGCGCACCACACCCCCAGTCTGCCACTTCACAGGCAGGCAGGCAGACTTTAATAAAGAACTAGAAACATTAGAAATAAACCAGAGACCCAGAGAGGGCTAGCAAAAAGACAAACATAAGTAATATAAGTAAGTTTGTTTTTGGATTATGTTTGTTTTTCTATAGCGTACTGCCTCTGTCTTCTTGTATTTCATTCCTCTACGGTAGGAGGTCCCACTTGTAAATGAGATGTTTCATCTCAAGTGGTTTTACCCTCGTAAAATATAAGTGAATAAAGTTTGGGTGAAAATGTGCTTATTTTAGTAATTATCTGGCTCTTGGCAGGTGCAGACGCTTTTGACCTCCTCCCCTCCATATCTTATCCTCAAAGCCTTTGTCTGCCTGTGTGTGCTGGATGCACGGCTGCTTCTGCATTTTTCTGGAAACTGAAATTCACTTAAATGGATCTCATCAGTTGGTCACTCAACGCGATTGAAATTTTTTTTTTCAAAGATGAGAATGGGAGAAGGGGCTCCCGGATGTCCTGCCGGGACAGACCCAGTTGGACACATCATGGACTCCTGGAAACAGTGGAACTTGATTGGCTTATCTCAGCTGTCTGTGGAGGACTCTGAAGACGTGTGGATATTCGTGGTGTTGGTGTCGGGTTTCCTGCTCATTGGCCTTGGAGGCTACCTGGCTTACCGGAAAATTAACGAGGTGTCGAGAAATGTTGGCCTGACCCCGGAGCTCAGAGAACATTTGCACCGCGCTGTGAATTCACAGACTCAAATAACTGTCGAGATGAATCGTAAGCTTGGGACTTTGGCGGAGATTCATTCTTTGGCACAAAAGATGGATGCCATCAAGGAGAGAGTGGACGAATCAGCATGGATTGGGACAGATTAACGTCCATTATTATTGGGATTCTGAGAGGTTGAGGACCAACAAACTGTAAGACAGACAGAGAGGAAATTATCTGTCTGGCCCCAAAACAATTTCTAATCGGAATCTGGCATTCTTGAGCCTGCAAGGCTCCAACGAAACCCCCCCCAAAAGATATGTGGAATGTGTCGTCGCTATGGCAACTCAACTCTGCCTCCTTTCCCAGCCTGGGCGGGACAGCGGGAAGCCTGCCGAAGCGTCCAGGGTCAATGCTCCTCCCCATCCACACTGCGGTGACATGTGCTGCCCTCCTGGTGGGAGGGTAACTCTGAAGTGCCTTTTTCCCCTCCACCTGAACCAATCCTCATGTAACCCTCTTATCTCTATTAAGGTAGTGCGACTCACCACAGTCACCAATTCTTGTCATGTGTCTTGCCCATGTATGTCTGATCTCTGAATTGTGTGTACTGAAACTCTAATTTCCCTCTGGGATTAATAAAGTATCTTTGAATGATTGATTTGATTGGGAAAGCCTGGGTTTGTGGGGTGTAACACCAACCTGGCCAGTTGCATTAGAATCCCCGGCCTCTCAGGTGTCCTCTCCACATCCATCTTAAGTTGTGGGTCCTGTGTCATCTCAGGCTGCAGATTAAATTATAATGAAGTGTGATAGACTCAAATATTATTTCCTAATCATATCTAGGAATAAGGTACACACCTAAGAATAGAAGAAAAAAGAGGCGCCATTGTCAGGTCAAGGCCAAATTGTTGTCCATATATACATCATCAACATGCAACAGCGACCAAATGAAAGATTCAGGCTCCTAACATTATTTTCTGTAATGTAAATTTCAAGACCTAACTGTAACTTTAACACACATAAACATACCAGGACAATAGTTAAACTCACCGTTGTGTTGCTTGAAGCCTGAATCTTACATTCTGGTGCTGTTGAAAGTTGATGATATATATTGAAAATAATGCAAGACCTGGGGCTTCCATATAGACAATAGCATTTCTATTTTCTTCTGGTCTTAGATGTGTGATAGTTGTCCACAGACTTTTGGGATATCTTTGTAAGAAATGCAACAAAATTCTATCTGACAGCATTTTAACCAAAGACGTTATTTTCCAAGGGAGTTTTTCTTGAGGGGTTTTGAATTTAATTCATTTATTTATGTTTATTTATTTAGCAGACGCTTTTATCCAAAGCGACATACAATTTTTAACCTATAGGGCATGTTGTGATCTGTGCGGGAAACCGGAGTACCCGGAGGAAACCCACGCATGCGCCACCATGCTGAATAAGACCTCGTCGTCGTCGTCGTCTTCCTCCGCTTATCCGGGTCCGGGTCGCGGGGGCAGCATCCCAACTAGGGAGCTCCAGGCTGTCCTCTCCCCGGCCTTGTCCACCAGCTCCTCCGGCAGGACCCCAAGGCGTTCCCGGACCAGATTGGAGATGTAACCTCTCCAACGTGTCCTGGGTCGACCCGGGGGCCTTCTGCCGGCAGGACATGCCCGAAACACCTCCCCGGGGAGGCGTCCAGGAGGCATCCTGACCAGATGCCCAAACCACCTCAACTGGCTCCTTTCGATCCGGAGGAGCAGCGGTTCTACTCCGAGTCACTCCCGAATGTCCGAGCTCCTCACCCTATCTCTAAGGCTGAGCCCGGCCACCCTACGGAGGAAACTCATTTCGGCCGCTTGTATCCGCGATCTCGTTCTTTCGGTCATTACCCAAAGCTCATGACCATAGGTGAGGATTGGGACGTAGATCGACCGGTAAATCGAGAGCCTGGCTTTCTGGCTCAGCTCCCTCTTCCCCACGACAGATCGGCTCAGCGTCCGCATCACTGCAGACGCCGAACCAATCCGCCTGTCGATCTCCCGATCCCTCCTACCCTCACTCGTGAACAAGACCCCGAGATACTTAAACTCCTCCACTTGAGGTAGGACCTCTCCCCCGACCCGGAGGTGGCAAGCCACCCTTTTCCGGTCGAGAACCATGGTCTCAGATTTGGAGGTGCTGATCCTCATCCCAGCCGCTTCACATTCGGCCGCGAACCTACCCAGCAAGAGCTGAAGGTCAGAGCTGGATGAAGCTAGGAGGACCACATCATCCGCAAAAAGCAGAGACGAGATTCTCCTGCCACCAAACTCGACACACTCCACACCACGGCTGCGTCTAGAATTTCTGTCCATAAAAGTGATGAACAGAACCGGTGACAAAGGGCAGCCCTGGCGGAGTCCAACCCTCACTGGGAACAGGTCCGACTTACTACCGGCTATGCGGACCAAACTCACGCTCCTCTGGTAAAGGGACTGAATGGCCCTTAACAGAAAGCCACCCACCCCATACTCCTGGAGCGTCCCCCACAGGGTGCCCCTGGGGACACGGTCATAAGCCTTCTCCAAATCCACAAAGCACATGTGGATTGGTTGGGCAAACTCCCATGCCCCCTCCATCACCCTTGCAAGGGTATAGAGCTGGTCCACAGTTCCACGGCCAGGACGAAAACCACATTGCTCCTCCTCTATCTGAGATTCAACTATCGATCGGACCCTCCTCTCCAGTACCTTGGAGTAGACCTTTCCAGGGAGGCTGAGGAGTGTGATCCCCCTATAGTTGGAACACACCCTCAGGTCACCCTTCTTAAAGATGGGGACCACCACCCCGGTCTGCCACTCCCTAGGAACTGCCCCCGATGACCACGCAATGTTGTAGAGACGTGTCAACCATGACAGCCCTACAACATCCATAGCCTTGAGATACCCGGGACGAACCTCATCCGCCCCCGGGGCTCCACCGCTGTGTAGTTGTTTGACTACCTCAGCAACTTCTGCCCCCGAGATCGGACAGTCCATCCCCAGGCCTCCCAGCTCTGGTTCCTCCTCGGAATGCGCATTGGTGGGATTGAGGAGCTCCTCAAAGTATTCCTTCCACCGTCCGACTATAGCCTCAGTTGACGTCAGCAGCTCCCCATCCCCACTGTAAACAGTGTGAGCGAGTTGCTGCCTTCCTCTCCTGAGGCGCCGGACAGTTTGCCAGAACCTCTTTGGAGCCGATCGATAGTCTTTCTCCATGGCCTCACCAAACTCCTCCCACGCCCGAGATTTTGCCTCGGCAACTGCCACTGCTGCACCCCGCTTGGCTATCCGGTACCTGTCTGCTGCCTCCGGAGACCCACAGACCAGCCACGCCCTGTAGGCCTCCTTCTTCAGCCTGACGGCTCCCGAACCTCTGGTGTCCACCAGCGGGTACGGGGGTTGCCGCCACGACTGGCACCGGCCACCTTACGACCACAGCTAGCAACAGCCGCCTCGACAATCGCAGAGTGGAACAAGGCCCACTCGGACTCAATGTCCCCCACTGCTCTCGGGACGTGGTCAAAGCTCTGCCGGAGGTGGGAGTTGAAGACCGTCTTGACAGGTTCTTCTGCCAGGCGTTCCCAGCAGACCCTCACTGATGTTTTTATTTCTCTATGATCTGATGTTTGAGAATGTTATCCAGACACCTGAGGGTGTACACTCACCTAAAGGGTTATTAGGAACACCATACTAATATGGTGATTGACCCCCTTTCGCCTTCAGAACTGCCTTAATTCTACATGGCGTTGATTCAACAAGGTGCTGAAAGCATTCTTAATAAATGTCAGCCATATTGATAGGATAGCATCTTGCAGCTGATGGAGATGTGTGGGATGCACATCCAGGACACGGAGCTCCTGTTCCACCACATCCCAAAGATGCTCTATTGGGTTGAGATCTGGTGACTGTGGGGAACGTTGTAGTACGGTGAACTCATCGTCATGTTCAAGAAACCAGTTTGAAATGATTGGAGCTTTATGACATGGTGCATTATCCTGCTGGAAGTAGCCATCAGAGGATGGGTACATGGTGGTCATGAAGGGATGGACATGGTCAGAAACAATTCTCAGGCAGCCTGTGGCATTTAAACCATGCCCAGTTGGCACTAAGGGGCCTAAAGTGTGGCAAGAAAGCATCCCCCACACCATTACACCACCACCACCAGCCTGCACAGTGGTAACAATGCATGATAGATCCATGTTCTCATTCTGTTTACGAAAAATTCTGACTCTACCATTTGAACGTTTCAACAGAACTCCAGACTCATCAGACCAGGCAACATTTTTCCAGTCTTCAACTGTCCACTGTTTGTGAGCTGGTACAAACTGTAGCCTCTTGTTCCTGTTTGTAGTGGAGATGAGTGGTACCCGGTGGGGTCTTCTGCTGTTGTAGCCCATCCGCCTCAAGGTTGTGCGTATTGTGGCTTCACAAACGCTTTGCGCAATTCCTCGGTTGTAGCGAGGGTTAGGGTCTTCTATCAGCTTGAATCAGTCGGCCCTTTCTCCTCTGACCTCTAGCATCAACAAGGCATTTTGGCCCACAGGACTGCTGCATACTGGATGTTTTTCCCTTTTCACACCATTCTTTGTAAACCCTAGAAATGATTGTGGGTGAAAATCCCAGTAGCTGAGCAGGTTGTGAAATACCCAGACCGGCCCGTCTGGCACCAACAACCACGCTCAAAATAGCTTAAGTCACCTTTCTTTCCCATTCTGACCTTCAGTTTGGAGTTCAGGAGATAGTCTTCACCAGGACCACACCCCTAAATGTACTGAAGCAACTGCCATGTGATTGGTTGATTAGATAATTGCATTAAGGTGAAGTTGAACAAGTGTTCCTAATAATCCTTTAGTAGTGGAGAACTTTTGATCATGGCTACTTTAATATATTAGAAGAAAGACTGTCACATTTGGTGGCAAGATGTCAGTGTTTGTCAACCAATAATTAATCAATAACTGAATTAGTATTTTTTTTTACCATAAAACCTCTAAAATTGCTGTAATTGTCTTTTATTTGGCAAAATGAAGTTTCTAGAACATGTTAATTATTCATTTCTTGAGGCACACAGAACACAATGTACAAACCTAATCCTTTTCAAAGCTTTAAAAATCATTCTGGCTCTTCCTTCTTAGTGCTAGAAAAGAAAGATCTTCATGGGAAGCATTTACATCATCTTTTTCCACTTAAAAGAAATGTTCAGAAACGTTCAGAGGTGGAAAAACGTTGGAGAAGACAAGGTGTGAGGGCACAGGATGAGAGGAGAAGAAAGGCCGTGGATGTGACGGGAGCTCAGGAGGGTAATTTGGGGACTTAGTTGCTAATCAAACTGAAGCACATCAACAGAAACACTCACGTACACACAGTTACACACTTACTCATACAATCTGGTGTAATGCCATTATTACCCATAATCACCCTTGTTATCCCACCTCTCTGTGCTAATGTTAGCCCGAGGCTGCGATAAAGACGGAGATGTTATGAGTGCACTTCTATTTATAAGCAAAGGAAATGAAATAAGATGGAAATGGGGAGAGGGATGATTAGATTTAGTAAATGAAAAATATCTGGGTTAAAATTGTAAAGCTTGAACAAATCACTTAAAAGCATTACCTCATCTGAAAGTGTTGAATCCTCACGGACTTCTTTCTCTGCAGGCTGAGGCTCCAGGTTCACGTTTCTGTAAATCATCTGATTCAGTAAAGCTAGATAAAACATAATCTGGCAGTTGTACATGAAAAAGTATATTAAAATAAGCTAGGGGAGGGTAAAAATTCCTCCCAGTGTCAAAAATACTGAGATAGAAACATGTGTCCGAACTTGTAGTCATGGAAAGCAAAATTTTCATTTAAAAAATACTTTGAATTAATCCAACATCACACACAAAACATTTTTCTATTTCAACCTGTTCAATGGCAAAGTAAAGATACAATATTATATGAGGATTTTTGTAGAAAAAATACATGCAAATCTCTGTGGATCAGAAGCATTAAAGGCTTTCATACATCAACTATACTGGATTTGTCAGCCTGGCCTGCCAGACTTGCCCGCTGTCTAAGACAACTTCCCATAAGGACGCATTGGCAAGGCTGGCCAGGCTATGGATTTGTAGCATTGATGTCAGTGGCCTATGGTATGAGTGCCCGCCCTGGGACTGGGAGATTGGGGTTCAAATCCCAGTTGGATCATACCAAAGACTTAAAAAAAATGGGACCCAATGCTTCCCCACTTGAAACTCAGCATGAAGGTGCTGGGTTTGGGAGGTTAAAGCTCTTTGTGGTTGTGTCTGCAGCTCACCACTCCCCAGGGGATGGGTCAAATGCAGAGAACAAATTTTGCACACTAGTGTGTGTGTGTGTTTGTGACAACTAATGGGATTAAAACTGAACTTTCACATTTAATTTTTCTTGGTATTGTATCAGCTTTCATCTACAAAAATGTACTCTGGACACCCTTTCTTCCAGAATTCTTGCTTCTATCGGGTCAATTTTTATGATTGGCTGCTCTATAGTAGACGTTGGTGGAGAGCTGTGGTTTTATTAACCATGAAATTAAAATGAACAGTGTTTGCCTTTCATGGTGCCACGGCTGAAATGCCAGCACCACGCCTATAAAATACCAATATACATACATATTTTAAACTGGGACATCGTTTTTACTTCAATTCAACCTGCGCTGCTTCCCAAAGACGCAGCAGGAACCACTCTGTTGTTGCACATGTTGTTGCATGTAGGCAGTATGGGGGAGAAGGTCGGACATTTGTGTAGCAGTTGTTTACAGCAGCACACAGAGTGTTGAGTTCAAAGACAGTTAGCAGAAGATTTATATAGCTTTTGATTAACATATTTCAAAGGCAGTAAGTTATAGATGACCGTTTGCAATTGCTTACTGTAAAGTATGTCACAAGTGAGTACACCCTTTGCATTTTTGTAAATATTTTTTTTTACATCTTTTTATGGCGACCCAAGACGGCCTCCAACAGTCTACAAGCATGCTTGAAAACCTACGAATTCTTTCTGCAACCGAACAATGAAAACAAAACTTTGGGACACCGAAGCAGCAAGACTCCGCCTCTCTGAGCTTTGGTCTCAATTTATGTTTAAAATGCGAACTATAAACTACACACAAGTTTTTATTTTTGTTAATGGCCCGAGTTAAATCAGAATTATGCTTAAAATAATTAAACTACATTTTTAGACCATCAGATAAATTGTGAAAACCATGATTTTGTGATCAGTGAGAGCTGAGAGGAGATGTGCTCATGAAAAAAAACCCCACCACAAATACATGAGATCCCTTTGCTGTTGGTGGAAATTTCACATATTCTACCGATAAGGACAGGCTCAGCAGCGTTTTGCTGCAGAGGAAGCTCAGTGACAGCAGATGTGAGCTGTCACTTGGAGCGGGCAAAACTAACCAATCAGAGGACAGAGAAGATCTGCCACAGGCCACGCCTCCAGAGTGTCAAAACCCCTTAACAGCCGAGCGAGCGGAGTCAGAAATCGAGCACGCAGAGAGGCTGCCGCGCGCGCGCGTTTTCCTCTGCCGTATGCTCGTTGGCAACGCGCGTACGCAGGTTTGTCACTTGTGCACATCCTTGCTCCCTCTCAGTGCACAAATGACCTCTCGCCATGTATATTTTCACTCGCGAGTCCCGTTCACACGCACGATGTGGACCCGTGCACGCGGAATTGGCACGGGTCTAACCCCATACAGGAGGCGTAGCCCCTGGTAGATGGAGCATTTTCACCAATTTTAAGTGTGTTTCTTGGCTCTCTGGGGCATGTTTTTGTAAAAACGTCCTCACTGTTTACACACTGTAAGCCACCATTTGCCGTCAATTTCTCCATTCGCGCATGAGCAGCGTGGACTTCCTTTCGGTTTCCTCCATGGCCACTGCCATTTCAAACTTTATCGCGCATACGCCTAGCAACTTGTGCCTGTCTTTATGTTCTTTTCTAGCAAACAGTCAGGGAACACGGAGGCAGTCTTGAATCGATCACGGGCAGGGGCAGAAATCCCATTTAAGTTTTTTGGGGGAAAGTAAACAGTCAAATTTCAGAGAGTAATTTTTGGGAGGGACATGAAAAAAATGGTTGCTTCCTGCTGTTTGGCAACTAGCAGGGTGAGCCTCCATCATGAGCAAGTTCACTGAGAAACCAGCCAATCAGAGGGGAGAATTAATACAGAGAAGGACTCCAAGTCCTGTTCTTTTCTGCTCCCCTCTTCTCCAACTAACTTCTGGGTCCTGAAACAGGAGCACTAGAGCTTTTTCCCCACAGAGATCCACTCACAAGGCATTCTAGACAGATGAGGCATACTAGAGTAGCCTGGCCTGCCAGACATCCTCTGTTTAATTCTGCACAGAGAAAGAGTCTGGTAACGCACAGGCAGAGAGGCACTTAAGGGGCGGGACAAGGCAGCTCGAAAATAACCAATCAGGAAAAAAAGACGGAAATGCCGACTGTATCGCGCAATGCTGCAGTTTTCTAGCTGTGGTAAAAAAAAGGTGTCTGGCAACGGCGCAAACATCTAATTTTTTAGAAGAAATGCTTTTAGCTGTCATGTTCTGCAGGGGAGATGGCAGACCATGTGTGGTGGTGGGTTTCAGGAGGCAGAAGAGCAGGCAAACGGATGAAAAAATAAAAATATGTTTAATTGTAGACTGGGAGCGACAGGACAACCGAACATGCACAAACGACAATGATCCGACAAAGACAGCAACAAGGAGGGAGGTATAAATACACAAGGGAATCAGGAACACATGGGCAGAGTAATGAGGGACAGGTGAGAACAATAAGGTTAATCAAGGGCAGGAGAGACACAGTCAGGGAGGCTGGGGCGGATCATGACATTAGCGCTTCTACTTAATGTGGTTTTAAAGACATTTGAGTCACTTAGAGCAGAGGAAAGAGCTGCAGCGAATTCCGCCACTGTCTTAGTTTATGAGAAACTGAGCGTCGCTGTGTGTGACGTCCGTGACTCTGTAGTTTTTTTTAAGCTGTAGTCAAAAATGGAGTCTGGCGACGGCGCAAACATCTTTCTTTAGAAGACATGCTTTTAGCGCTTCTACTTGTTGTTGGTTTAAAGACGTGTCCAAGTCATTTAGAACAGAACAGCCACAGCGAACTTCGCTTCAGTCGCCAAGTTCGACAAACTTGGCGTTATGGTGTGTGACGTACGACTCAGCGATGATTGGCTCGGTTAGAATTCTCAGGGGGTGAGGTTATTTGAACTGGAGAATTTCCAGACTCCTTCTTGTGCAGAATTAAACAGAGGAGGAGTCTGGCAGGCCAGGCTAATACTAGAGACCACTGCAGATGTGTTGGGATAAAGAACAAGGGAACTTGGTCTTTCAATGCGTAACGTTGGAATGTTTATGTCACGTTCAGAACTTGGAAGACCCGTGATGACACCAAACACAGTAAAAAGTTAAATAAAAAGTCTTTATTAGATTATGCGTTACCGAAGAGGGCGAGGCAGGAGACAGAGTCGGAGAGGAGGCATAAGTTAAAACCAGATCGGGACGAGCAGGTACAGGGAACAGCCTGGAAACGAGGTAAAAGTCAGGCGAGGGTCGTGGTGGCAGGCAGAGTTCAAGGCAGGGGTCAGGCGTGAAAATGAGTTCCGGAGGCTGCGATCAGACAAGGTGAAAGGCTGGAAAATTTACTGGCAAGAGCGTTCAACAATCTGGCACTGGTTGGAGAGCAGGCTGGGAGTTAAATAGCAGAGGGAGCAGGTGTGTGGGATGAGCTGATGCCAGGAACAGGTGAGATGAATGAAGCCGATGAGGTGCAGGCTGAGGTTGCTGTGGAAACAGCTCATGGCAGCAGAGGCAGAGGAGGGTGAAAGACAGGGAGTCATGACAGAACCCCCCCCCCCTCAGGGGCGGTTTCCAGACACCCACAGGAAACCAGAGCAGAGCGGGAGGAGGGGGACCAGGAGGGTGGGCCAGAGCAGGGCGGGAGGAGGGGGACCAGGAGGGAGAGCCAGAGCAGGGCGGGAGGAGGGGGACCAGGAAGGAGGGCCAGAGGAGCCTGGGGGGCCAGCGACAGGGAACCAGAAGCCGGGACCTAGGGAGTCTTGGGGGCCGACGGCAATGGGCGAGGACCGGACTGGTGGTGATGGCTGCCAATGACCGACCTGGAGTCAGCGGGGACATAGACCCTGGAGACTCAGGCGGGGATGTAGACTCTGGAGACTCAGGCGGGGACGTAGACTCTGGAGACTGAGGAGGGGACGAAGACTCTGGAGACTGAGGAGGGGACGAAGACTCTAGAAACTGAGGAGGGGATGAAGACTCTGGAGACTGAGGAGGGGACGAAGACTCTGGAAACTGAGGAGGGGACGAAGACTCTGGAGACTGAGGAGGGGACGAGGACTCTGGTGACTGACGAAGAGACATGGACTCTGGAGACTGAGGAGGGGACGAGGACTCTGGAGACTGACGAAGAGACGTGGACTCTGCAGGCTGACGGGATGAAGACGTGGACTCTGCAGGCTGATGGGACAAAGACGTGGACTCTGCAGGCTGATGGGACAAAGACGTGGACTCTGCAGGCTGATGGGAGGAAGCCTCTTGGACAGGCGGAGCTGTCTTGACTGGAGGCGTAGCCGCTGCAGGGGGAGCCTCTTGGACAGGCGGAGCTGACTCGACTGGAGGCGTAGCCGCTTCAGGGG